CTGGTGCCAGAGGGAAGCCGGTGCCAGCAGCCGGGCAAAGGAGGGCCCACTCTTGCAAGAATTTCATGCATTGGGCCTCTGGTACTTTATATAAAGACATGCAGATTGTCCTGTGTAGAAAATTGGTCGTTTGGCAAGAGATGTGATTGAAGAGGTGAGCAGGTTTCAGATCCCAAAAATGGTCATACACTCAGCTAAGGAGCAGGCCCACACATAGGGCTGTTCACAGTCCCCACCCCTGAGAGCACTGTTCACCTAGACCAGTGGTCGGCAAACTCATTAGTCAACAGAGCCAAATATCAACAGTACAACGATTGAAATTTCTTTTGAGAGCCAAATTTTTTAAACATAAACTATATAGGTAGGTACATTGTTATTAACTTAATTAGGGTACTCCTAAGCTGGCCTTTGCTAAAAACGTCCTCAATCTGATTGAGGTATGTTCGCTGAGGTTGACCCCTTCCAACTCTCCCATCCACACTCATCTTGTATACTTGTTTCGTCTATCTCCTTTCATTCATCCTCTCTATATGTCCACCCCCCACTTCTAACGCCACTTCTTCAAAATAGACTTGCCCAGGCTGAAAACCAACATCTGTTCATGGACCATGAAATTTCAATCACACTGTACGTGCGCGCCTGTACATGGTATTTTGTGGAAGAGCTACACTCAAGGGGCCAAAGAGCCGCATGTGGCTCGCAAGCCGCAGTTTGCCAACCACTGACCTAGACTACCAGTGACAGCCTCCTGGGCTTTCACAATGTGGCAGCCCTGCCAAAAAACCTATAATGGTCTAGGAGTCAGTAGAGAGAAGGATTTACTGCTCTATGCACCCAACGAGGAAAAGGTCAAATTGCTAGTAAAAAAGGTAGAGAATTAAGCTCTTCAGTGTCATAACTAGAGGTGTTGTTTGAAATAACCATAACAGTGTTGCAGCTACAATTTATTATATGTCATGTACACTATGCCCTTCTTTAATATATATAAATATAACTTTAATAAATATAAATTTATAATACATATACACCATGTTACATATAAATGTCATATATACACTGAGTGGCCAGATTATTATGACCGGTCAGAGAGATTATTATGACCACCCCATCAGTACAATGAAGTGAATTAGTTATGCAAATAATAATAATAATAAAACCTTGATAGTATTTGCTTGGGAAGTTTTTAATCTTCAGTATTTTTGGAAGTGGCAATGAAGTACTGATGGGGTGGTCATAATAATCTGGCCGGTCATAATAATCTGGCCACTCAGTGTATATAAATATACAGTTTTATCAGACAGTGTAGGATAAGTTATGCTATAGTAACTAACAGTCTCAAAATTTTAGTGGCTCTCAATAAAATAGTTTCATTTTTCACATCACATATCCATTTTGAATCAGCTATGGCTCTGCTCTATGTCTTTGACACCTGGATGTAGGCTGACAGGCCCTTATCTAGGACATTGCTAGTTTCATGGCAGAGGAAATGGAAACAAGAACTACTAGCTCACTCTTAAGCACTGAGAAGAGATTCATGGAACTTGTGCTCTCATTTATTGGCCAAATGACATGCCTTCCTGCATATATCAGGGTGATTATGTGTAATCATCCCACGGGGAGGAACACCACAGAGAAAGGCCACCGGAGAGGGATAGTGGCTCTTTGGACCAATCTCATCATCAACCACACAGATATTATTAATTCTATTTTGAAGACTGGGAAATGGGTTCAGAAAGGTAAAGTGTCCTGTTTAATGTGCAAGCAAAAATTAATAAATGAGAATACCTGGATTGAATTCAGGCCAGCGTAGCTTCAGAACCCTAACCCCAGTTCATCTGACTCCCCATGCTATCCAGCCCCCTGCACTGAGTCTTTTAATGTTGTTTTATGTGTTATCTTTGGACTCTTGATGTATTTGGGTGAAGAGAAGCCTTTTTTTCTGACCTTGACAGTTGTACTAGGCACCGTCACGATTCAGTGCCAGCCCTGGAAAGTGAGCCTTTGCATTTGACCCTTTATTCTTGCTTAGTATCTGTTTCAAAAGTAAGAGGGAAAGGTTGTTAGATTTTCAGAGCAGAACAGATAGCTCATGGTGCATGCACAAAAACACAGTGTGACCCAAAAAGTAGAAAATACCCATCTAGGAACATTAACCTGTTCTTAAGAAATAAGCATGGGGAAATGGAATAAGTGGCCCCATTCCAGAAAGCCAGCTGGGAAATGGAACAGTGAGCTAAGAACAAGCCTTCACTTTGCACTGTGTCACTGAAGGGTTATAACAGAAGTTGGCATCGGGACTGAGAAATAGGACATTGGAGTGAGGTGACAGGACATTGGCAGAGATCTAATTTTAGTCAATAGGTACAATCTAGTGCCAGCCTACAATGATTCGACCCTTTTAAATTAAAAAACGTAGATTTTTATTGATTTCACAGAAGGAGAGCGATATAGAAACATCAGTGATGAGAGAAAATCATTGATTGGCTGCCTCCTGCATACCCCACACAGGGGATCAAGCCTGGAACCTGGGCAAGTGCCCGAACTGTGACCTCCTGGTTCATAGGTTGATGCTTAACCACTTAGCCATGCAAGCCAGGCACTTGTACCTTATTTTATTCCTTTTATTGGTCCCTACCAATATTCTTAATATTAAAAAAGACATCGTTCTTAATATTGAAAAAGACATTGTTCCTGCCCTCAAGGAATGTATTACTTAACTATTTCTATGTAACAACGCACCTCAAAATGTCCAGGCTTAAAACAATAATCATTTAAGGTTGGCAATTCAGGCTGGACTAGTTGGGCAGTTCTTGTTTTGGATGGGGTCAGTGATGGGGTCAATGATGCATCTGCATTCAACTGTTGGTTAAGTTGGCCCTTTGCACAGCTGTATGGTGGGCCAGCTGTCATCTAGGGCAACATGTCAGGAATAATGAGGCCATGTGTTTCTCCTCATCCATCAGGGTAACATGGGCTTATTTAAATGGTGGTCGCAGAGTCCCAAAAGAGCAAGGAGAAGCCCTAGCTCAGAAAAGTCATTTCACCACATTCTACTGGCCAAAGTCAGTCAGCAGGCCACCCCAGAGGAAAGGGAAATATACACAGAGTCCATCTCTTGATGGGGAGAAGTTGTCAGCTACACTGAAAGGGGTGTGAATACAGAGGGGGGATTATTATGACTATCTTGGGAAATGAAAGTTGTTCTCAGCCATCTTAAATTCCATAAAAACTAAGCACGGTGATGAAACTTATGCTTCATGTTACGAAATGGTAATTGGCACTGGACTGGCCCTTCTATCATAAACAACCAGAAAATTAGGCAAAGTAAATCAAAATAAGTTTTCAGCTATTGGAAAACTGACACTTCAGAACTGTGATTCCTAAGAGAAAGGAACAAATGAGATCTCTAAAATATCTCCAGCTCTCCCTCCGCCTCTCTCAAAATCAATTTTTTAAAAATATTAGGGAAAAAAGACACACAAAAAACAGAGCCTAGAAGCCTTTTCTGCACAGGGTCCTCTCATGCAAATGACACTTCAGGGAGAAGCCTGCACTAAGCTGCCTGCCTCCTGCATGTCCCTGCCTCTGAGTCAGCCCTTGGGCTTCCCCGCCCAATTAAAGTGGCACAGCTGTATCCCCATTAACATCTCCACCAGCCAATCGGAGCAGCTCCATTCTGACCAATAGGGCCATGCCTTTTGGACCAAACTATAAGGTATTGGAGTTCTCATTTGCATGAGGATGGGCCAATCAGGGAGGAGGGGCCCGGAGTTTTGTTTTGGAAGCCAGTTCCCCTCTGGCTCAGGAGTGCACTTTCCCTTCCCACCAAACACTGAAAACTGTTTCCTTGGCTAGAGCAGAAACACTGAAGACATGTCACTGGAGCAGAGGAAAACAGCCCCTCACAGGGGCAGAGAGAGGCAGACTGGCGCAGAGTGGAGGAGCACAGAGCAGAGGGGCAAGGCCACAGGGCCGCCTCACAGCCCTGCTGTTTTCACAGCCTTGCTGTGTCACCATTGAGCTGTTTTGCACTGAATACACGTTCCTTTACTGCACCTCAATTGTGAATTCCTGTTGGTGTTGAATTGGCACCAAGGACCATCTGTTGACACGAGTTAGAGCTCTGAATTCCCTGTTCTGACAAAGCAGCTTCCTCGCCCAAGAAGCTGTCCTGATTCCTCAGTCACCCAGCCAACCCCTGGCTCCTGGCTGGAAATATGTAGGGCATTCCGAGAGGCCCTTTGCTGGACCCTCTCCCTACTGCATGCAGGCCCCATGTGCCTGACCTGGGCACACTTCCATACTAACTCGTGTATCCTGCTCCTTCTCTGCTCTAAATCCTCTGTCCCTGGACCCAGTTTTAATATACAGTGCAATCTGCATGTGTCTGTGTCTCTTTGCAGGACAGCAGTGGGGAAAGACTCACAGCCTGGATTACTTTCGGGTAAAATCTGTGGGTTGGCCAGGGTGCCACAGAAAGTGGCATATGCTTGCACATGGTGTGTCAGACACTGATGCAAAGGAAGAGGGGAAGGGGCCCTGGAGCTTTCAAACTAGGCGAGAAATAAGAGAGGTAAAAATCAGATGAAATCTTTGTGTAATGCTTGGGCAGGAAGAGATCTCATATTAGAATCCCTCTAAGGAGCTTTGAGGGGGAGAAAGGAGTCATTTTTTCATTACCAGAAACTTCAGCCATCTATTCCCCATGGTTTCACCATAATTGTGGTCATACTCTTGGCTCTGAGTCCCAATCCATCCATTAGGTCCAGATGAGTGCCGGATGCTTTACATTTATTCCACCCGGAGTGTGTGAGTGCCTCACCATCTGGAATCAGGACACATGGACAGCAGAGCTGTAGTGCAGCTCAGATCCTTCACCAAAGTCTTTCATTTTACAGATGAGGAGACTGATCATATTATGTGAAGTATTTTGGCCAATTTCTCAGTCTCCTACTCGGGTGATCTGATTGGGAAAAAGAAATGGAAGGCAAGATCCCAGATATTTAGGAAGTTCAAGGTCTGATGTGATTGGTTTTATTCTAAGAATATCTTTGGGAGTGTTTTCTAGAAATACATGATTTGCTCAAGGCTACATTGCAGGAGATAAAACTGAATTTGAATCCAGTTTCCACTCTGGTCCTCCCTTCTGCACAGGCCCCGTGCCTTTGGAGGACATGCCCATTCTTCCTGCTTTCCCTTACCCCTCTTCCCCCAATGTCCTCATGCCCGAGGAACTGCACGGAGACGGTGGTCTACTGGGGAGATGGTGACACCCATTCTGAACTCCAAGCTCAGCTTCTCGTTGTCTGGGGGCTTAAAGGTAAATTTTTGCAAAAGGGAGGTGAAGAAAATGAACAGCTCAGCCTTGGCCAACTGTTCTCCGAGGCATACCCGCTTTCCTGAAAGACAAGAACAGAAGACAAATTATCTTTCCAGCTGGTGTTGGTGCCCAGAGGGATTGAAATCTTCTCTAGTCTTTTAAATCTTGAACAGGGAGGGCCTGCTAGGCCCCGGGGCTTTCTGTACAGAGGCTCATTCAATCTGACAACACCAGGCTTAAGCAAAGCACAGATAACTTATGTCAGGACTCCTCCAGTGCCTTCAGGGGTCAGGCAGGTGGAGGTGCAGGTTGTAGGCAGTGATTGAAGTGGGAGGCCTTGGTTGACCTAGAAAGTGGATGTTGAGCCTACAGGCTCTAAAAAATCAATTAACAACAATGACAGAAGCAGAAAACAAGACTATTCATTTTTTTCAAACCTTAAAGGAATACTACCCAAAAGTATAAGCCAGTAAATGTCAGAGCAGGGTGTGTAAAGTACAAGGCCTCTTTCCCCTGCTCATATTTTCCTCTTTGATGATCGGGGACCTCGCTGATGTGGATGGCTCTCTACCCTGGACCTGCTTTAGCTCCCCTCCTTGACGGGCCTTAGGCCTGCCGATCCTTCTTCCAGTAGTGCCTTTGCTTCTAGCACAGGGCCATAGGCTGCATCCTTTGCTCCATGGCTCACACATGGCCCTGTCCAGGCCACATCCCTGTCCCTGTTGTGTGAGTTCAGAACTAGAAGTAGAAGGACAGAGATCCAGTTCTATTCCTCCCACTTTCTAGACATGGGATTCAGGGAAAATTAAGTAACTTCTTGAGGTATTGGTGGAAATTTGTGCTTAACATGGGAATTTTATTTTATATATTGCGTGAGCTACATGTGGAATCCAAATAATTTAATACTGTAGAGAACAAAACAAAGTATTTTAATATATCTCCTGGATAATACAGATTCTAGCTATACAATAGCTTATCTGTAAGTTCATCCTGTTTCTTATTTTAAAAAAGGAATTTGGAAGAACACAGTTTAAAAGATGACTTTTAAATAAATCTCGTGGGTGGTAACATTACTAAAATAGTTTTTTGTGTATTACAATTCTTTACTGTGATACTTTTCACATCATACCTTTTATTCTGAAATAATTTCAAATGTACGGAAAACTTGCAAGAATAATATTGAAAAAAAATGTATTTTTCCTGAGCTATTTGAGAGTAAATTGCCTATGTTACCCATGAAACCTTCAGGATGAATTCCCTCAAACAAGGATGTTATCCTGCAGAACCACCAAATCAGGAAATTCCCACCATCTTCTCTTCAGATCTCAATCAGGTTTTGCCATTCTCCCAATAATGTCCTTTGTCTAGTCAAGGGACCCAGTTTAGTATCAGGAGTTGCATTTGGCTGTCGCACAAGAGATTTCTCAACTTCCCTGGCTTTGGCACTTTGAAGATGACAGACCCATTATTTGGTCAATGTCTCTCATGTTCCCTCATGATTAGACTCGGGTTGGGAGGTCATGTGTTTCTGGGGGCAGGACCACCCAAGGGAGGCTGCTTCTTCTCACTGCACCCTATCAGGTGGAACACGCTTTTGATTTGCCCCATTTTTGGTGAATTTAACTTGATTACAGTGGTGTCTATCCTTTCTCCCCTGTAAAATTATTGTTTTCCCCTTTGCAACTGATAAGTGCAACTTTGAGACTAATAACCATTCCTCATAGGACTAGTTTCCTTTGCTATTTTTTGTCCAAATTATTAATTACTCTAATGGTTGCCTGATTGGAAGTTTTAAAATTTCATCATTCCTTCCACATTATTAGGATCCTACTAAAGGAAATGCTCTCTCTCCCTATTTTATTTATGCACTCATTTATTTATATCAGTATGAATTCACAGATTCCTATTTTATTGAAGGGGTTAAAATTTGTTATTAGTGTTTGGATCTCAAGATACTCTAGGTTTGGCTAATAAGTGAGCATTCAAGCTGGTATTTTCTTACTTTGAACAACAAAAAAAAATGTTCCAGGCTTATCTCATGCTTTCCCCTCCCCAACCTGGAATTAGCCAATTTCCCCAAAAGTTCTGGTTCCTTTTAGTAGATAACGATTAGATCTGGGCATTAGACATGCTCATTGGTATTGAGGTGGTGTTGCTCCCAGGCATTTCAGTGGGTAGAGCAACTCAGTATCTATATGTATAAAAGGCTAATATGCTAAGTGTCCCTCCAACCATCTGACTGGTTGCTGTAATGCACACTGGCCACAAGGGAGCAGGTGCTCAATGCAGGAGCTGCAGTGATGCGCACTGGCCATTTACAAAGAAATTCCACTGCAGACCTGGCGCCAACAAAGCAACACTCGGCTTCCCCCAAGTGGGACACAGGCCCCACCACCACCCCAGAGCGATACCCCACCAAATCACAGCCGACACTGCCGAGACCCCGTGGCTCAAAATGAGGCCCACAGCCCAGGCCTGAAATGGTAGCGGTGGGCGCTGGGTAATAATGTCACGTAGCAACACCCTGCTTCCTCTCCCTATCAACTAGCCTCCTTAGAATTTCTTCAGCCAAGGAACATGACTTGCTTTATAGCCAGGTGCAAATATTTTACACTTTAACCAAATGTTTGTGAAGCATTTTCCCATGCCTCATCTCATTTGATCCTCACGGAAGTCCTGGAGTAGGTAGATAGGCGACTCGGTAGAATCCTATTTTCTTTTCATTAGCTGGAAAATGGAGATTTAGAAAGTTTAGAAACTTGCCCCAACTGAAAAGAAGTAAGAAATGATAAACCTTGAAAATGACTTCAGGTTTTCTTACTGCGCAGAATATAGTCAAACACTGCTGCAGTTAAATTTTATTTTACCTTTTGTTCTCCCTGCATGATCTACAATAATCTGCTTCATGTTGATACTTAACTGCTGTGTTGCTGACAATTAATTATCTGAAAGAGAAGTTGGGGTGCTTCACTGGGCTGGAATAAGTTTAGCTAAACCAGAAAGTAGGTCTAATTAAACAAGTTTATCTAAATATATAAAGTTCTCACTGGTGCCAATCGCACACATGTGTTTCGATCTGTCATTGTCGAGCATGAATTCAGTTGACACTTCTATTATAGAGAAAAGGCTAATAGCGATATTAAAATATTTCTTCTAATTTCCTTTCAATGTGTATGAATTCCTGCACCAAGCCTCTAGTGTTTATAACACGAGTATATATTTAAATGTGAGGATATATATGCATCCATGTTTATGTTTATATTTACTTCTGTATCTACCTATCTACCTACCAATCTATTAAAAATCTGAGTTCGTATTGATAACCTCTTATTTCAGTCCAACACCACAGAGTTCATTCTATTATCATCCCTTCCGTATTTGTAACTTCCCCCCATTATCTTCAATATGTTTACAATTCGATCAGTGTCCCCTGTATATAACTTATCTCCCATCAGTACCATAGCCACTCTGTGCAGATCCCGCCTCATCTTACTGGTGCTCTGACACCCACTCTAGGCTTCTGCTGTCCCCTCCCCTTTGCAAATGCCCTGCTCACCTTTCTTGGGCTACAACACCCCTCACTGGTCACTACCACCATCTCTCTTGTGTGTGTAATAATTTTTCTCCCTAAGTAATACATATTCAATGCAAAACGAAAAAATAAGTGTAATAAAGGGAAATATAAACAAGACAATGACAGATGTAAAAGATGCCACAGTTGACCCCTCAAGCCTCAGTTTCATTATCTTTAAAGTGGCGATAGTAGTATGGACCCTGTAAAGTTGCACTGAACACATGCTACATGAGAACAGGTGTTTTTTCCACTTCATTAATTGTCCTATGCCCAGGGCTGACTGCTGGCTCAGGACACATTTCCAGAACTAGAACTAAGGAAATAACCCATGAGACATACCTAATGCAACACTAAGAAATATACTGAGAATTTTTGTTATTCATTTTACAATGTTATGAGTTTAAAAAACCTTTGAAACTGGCTGCTTGGAAACATGAGAGAGTTTTCATAGCATCCTCCTTTGCACCATTTAAGTTGTCTACCCTGTAAATGTATTAACCAAACTTGTACAGCATAATTAAAATGTAAAGAGGCAAAGGGGGGTACATATAGAATAGAATCCCATCCAGTCAAGGATGGCATTCAGCATCACTCCTGATGCCCATAATGATAAGCAAGTAGCCCCTTTCCTTGCCCCTCCACACTCTCGTTATAAATTGGCTCTAGTTCTGTGTGAATGGGTGGCCCTTAGAAATTCTGTGAAGGTGGCAAATGCCCAACCTTTTTTTGTGAGCAAGAGGCAGGGTCTGCGTCTCTGTCCCCAGTGTTCCGGGGGACAGAACAGAGTGAAGCTGGAATCTTCAGGCTGCCCTGCCTGCCAAGTAAGGGCTGAGGAAGAAAGGACAGCCTGGAGCCAGGCCAGCCCTGGGAATCCTGAGCTGGAGCAGGAAGTCATGCTGGGCAGGGCTGTTTGGAGGCATTCCAGCTAAAGCAAAGGATGGTGGGGAGAGGAGTAGGGGAGAGTGGAGAGGAGCTCTGGATCCACACCCTCTTATTTTGTAGAACTCACCTATTGAGAAAGGCATAAAGGCGTCCCTTTTCTTCAACTGTCCATTCTCCAGAAAATGCTCCGGATTGAATGTGTTGGGGGTGGCCCACTCTTCAGGGTCCCTGTGCAGTGCGGTCAGATTGGTTATGACCATGGTCCCCTGGAGAAGGCAGCAAAGACTCAGGCAAGGCTTGACCCTGCAACACCCCCATGCAGAGGGCTGGAAGTCCCCTGCTCCCAAGCCAGGGCCTGACCGTATCCTCACCCTCCACAACCCATTGTCTTCTGAGCCCAGCTCCCCACCCCCAACCTCCTTGCCATGGTACAGCTTGCAATGATGGACTGCAAATGCCTGCTGGGAATTTCCTAGGGAAGTATGGCTACTCTTAACTGCAATATGGATGTTCTCTGCAGGGACTAGTCAGTTTAGGACCTGGAAGCTGACACACATGCACCAATGAGAGAATAATATAGAGCTTTGCTAGTCAGTACTGTACCAAAGTCAACCCAGCTGCTCAGTGAAGTGGTGACCATGGCAGTTCCAGCAAGGTAAACAATGTCTCATTCATCCCTATTTCTCCATTCTCTTCCCTCCAATGTCTACTATACTACCCAGGTTTATAATAGAATCAGGTCGTCCAGTAAAAGGAACCACTATTCAAAAGGTACATATCAAGAAACCTAAGAGTCCTCCTTAATGCCTCCTTTTCCTCCACTGAGCCTTCAGTGAGGCTGGTCAGTTTTACTTTAAATTTCTCTTAATTCTGTCACCTCCATTCTATGTCCACTGTTGCCATCTTACTCCTGGCTACCCCTTGCTTGCCTATACTCCTATAATAGCTGGCTACTATGGCCTATGTCCTCTCTTCCCCCTTTCAATCTGCTCCATACTCTGAAAGCCCAGTGAGCTTCAAATAAGGTTTAATCGTGTCACACCCACCTACCCACCCACCAGCCTTGAACTTAATAGAACCCTTCACCAGCTTCCCATTGCTCTTGGGTGACAGATCCATTGCCTGACCCCTGTCTGGGCTACTGTGTCTCTGCCTGCACTCCCATTACATCAGCCGCCTTTCAGCTGCTCAAACAGCTTGGTTCCCCTCATTTTGTACCTTTTAAAATGTTGTTTTCAGTGTCTTAATGTCTTTCCTCCTAACTCTTAACCATGTTGCTGCCCTCACCTCAAACATCACTTCCTTTGGAAGCCTCCTCTGACCACTCCCACTAGTACTCCCCATTCCAGCTAGCCCTCATCTTTACAGAGATGTGGGAGTTTTTTCAGTGGGGCAGTTGTCATGGTTTCTAAGTACGTACTTGCATGGTTATTTTCCTTAGGTTTGTTTTCACAGGCCTGAATATTTCAGATGCTTAATGCACATTTGTTGAATTAATAAAGGATAACTGTTATGTTAAGTACTCTCTATACTAAGCACTAGATTTAACATTCGACATGCGTGACCTCATTTTACTTCAACCTGTGAGGTAGGCTTAATGCATTTTACAATTAAAGAAATTGAAGTTCTGAGGGGTTAAATAATGTGCCCAGAGTCACATAATGGAGGAGGTAGAGCCACGGTTTCTATTAGGTCTACTTGACAATCAAAGCCATGGCAGCTTAGCCTCTACAATTTAGTCACTTAGACCTCTCGGTTCCCAGGATGGTCATTAAAGTGGATGTTAAAAATAAGTGGTAGTGCCCTAACCGGTTTGGCTCTGTTGATAGAGCGCCGGCCTGCGGACTGAAAGGTCCCAGGTTTGATTCCGGTGAAGGGCACGTATCTTGGTTGCAGGCACATCCCCAGTAGGAGGTGTGTAGGAGGTAGCTGATTGATGTTTCTAACTCTCTATCCCTCTCCCTTCCTCTCTGTAAAAAACTAATAAAATATTTATTTAAAAAAAATAAGTGGAAGAGCTGGGATGGTTCCTGGAGCTTACATGAATTGCTATAAAAATGCAAGCAGCACCTGTGACATGATTTAGACCTCAGCCTTCACCTATAACATGGTCAATCAGCAAGAAATCATACATGCAATAGCTGCAGGTATAGCGGCTTTTCCTGACTCTGCAGGGACAATGACCAAAACGTGTACAATGGGAAATCCCCCCTGGTCCTGCCTCTTAAGTTCGACTCCAGGTACGACATATGCAGAGGGACATAGACAACTGGAATGGACTCACAGAGGTTGACCAAAGTGGTGAGAAAACAAGTGAGCTGTAAAGGTGCAGTGTGCAGAGAGGGCACTAGGGGGCATAGGAGAGATGTCTGCTGAGATCATAAGCCTGGTGGGCAGAGTGAGATCAGAATTTCCTTTGTGAGGACACAGAATTAAACAGGGATGAATTGAGAGCAATTGCAAGAAGACCCTTTTAAGGCCAAAGTCAAACAACTCCTGTGTAGAGAACATGATGCAGTACAAAAAAGATGAGCCTGGAGATCAGAACAGATCTGGTTCTTGAACCCAACTCTTGTCACTTTGTAGTTGAGGGACCTTACACAAGCTGAATCGCAATGAGACCATACTTCCCAGTTTATAAAATAGAAATAACAGACTTATTCTGAGGACCGATTAAGATATTTCAAAAGAAACTATGTAGTCCCTGGAACATAATTACTGCTTAACAAGTGTGTGTTCTTCCTCTCCTTTTCTAATACTTAATATTGCACACACTTGGGTTGGTTTCTCCCACCACAGGGCTACAAGTCAAAGCTGAAAAAACACCTATCGGGATATTACGTTAGAAACACCAGCATTAATGTGATGTTGGCCCAGATGGTCTCAATTGTCCCTTTATATTTTAATGTTCTATAGACCCAGGATTGTGAAGCAAAATTTTCTAAAGTGATTCTGGCAACTCCCTAGTCCTGTGAGATGCTCTACCAAGGCCAAGAAGAAGATTCCATGCAAAATCAGCTGCATATCCACAAAGATTCACAATTCTCCTTTCATAGTAAAAACACTGAGAAATCCCACAACAAAGAAAAGCCAGATTTTGCCTAGACGTATTTGACCTAGGAGTCCCCCTTCCTCTCCATAATAACTATTAGTATCCTAGTTGAATTAACGTTCTAAAGACCACACCAGAAGAAAAATAAAGAATATTGAAACAAGCATAATATCTCTCCCCATTAAAGTGATTCCCTAGGACCAGAATCTGTCACTTTCCAAGTTCAGATTCCTACCATTTAAAACAATAAGCTTTAAGATCAGAAGCTGGAGTCCCTCATTACCTTGGGCAGGTGGTATCCAGCCAGGGTGGTGGCATTGTTTACTTCCCTGGGCACATTCAGGGGGATGATATTTCCCATTCTCTGCACCTCGTGGATGACGGCATTGGTGTAGGGCATGAGCTCCCGAGCATCCGTGCTCGGCTGCTGCGACTGGCCAATCACTCTGTCGATCTCAGCTTGCACTTTTTCTTGAAAAGAAAAGAAAGTTTTTATTTACAGGGAACTCATACAACTTAACAAAAGGGAGATAAACAATCCAATAAAAAAATGGGCAATGGACCTAAATAGATACTTTTTGAAAGAAGACATAAGGAAGGCCAAGAGAAATATGAAAACATGCTCAAAGTCACTAATCATCCGAGAGATACAAATCAAAAATGACAATGCAGTACCATCTCACACCTGTCAGAATGGCTATCATCAACAAATCAACAAACAACAAGTGCTGTCAAGGATGTAGAGGAAAAGGAACCCTCGTGCACTGCTGGTGGGAATGCTGACTGGTGCAGCCACCGTGGAGAACAGTATAGAGTTTCCTCAAAAAACTAAAAATGGAACTCCCATTTGGCACAGTGATCCCACTTCTGGGAATATATCTCAAGAATCTAGAAACACCAATTAGAAAGGATATTAGAGAAGCATCGATCAGACCATCAAACCTCAGAGGGAAGGTAGGGGAGGGTGGGGGTAAGGGGAAGAGAGCAACCAAAGTACTTGTATGCATGCATATAGGCCTAACCAATGGACACAGACAACAGGGGGGTGAGGGCATGAGTAGGGGTGTGGGTGGGCAATGGGGCAATAAGGACACATATGTAATACCTTAATCAATAAAGAAAAAGACCCCTACACCTTTGCTACATCTTTCTGTAGTAAATTCTGTATGTTGAAAATAAAAAATATAAAAAAGAAAGAAAATAAAGTTCTTGCATACTATACCTTTCCTTGAGCTTGTGAAGCTAAGGAGTGGAATAACTAAGATCAAAATGCTAAAATTATAGTAGGCTCCATAGACTCCTGTTTGTCAAGGAGGTAATAAGAGTGGAAAGTGGGCCCTGGAATAAGACAATTCTAGTTGTAAGCTTTTGCTCTACAAAATTATGCTGCAAGTTAGTTAGACTGAGCCTCAGCTTTCTCTTCTTCTTAAGTGAGGCTAAATCTATTTTCATCTTAAAGATATTTTGAAATTTATATTAACTGATTTAGGTGAACACCCAACAAATGATAGAAACTGCTAATTGTTTCCCAATATATGTCCCCCCGCCTTTTTTTTTTTTTTACAATAATTGAGATTTTAGCTGGATACCTGATTACTCAACCAAAGACTACATATCCCAGATTCCCTTTTTACTACGTGTAACCATGTGACTAAGTTCTGACCAATAGGAAGTGTATAGGAGGAATGTTTAATAATTGGAACATACCCTTAAAAGAAGGGTGTGTGCTTTTGAACCCTTTTTCCCTTCTCATTGGGGAGACATATTTGATGGTGCCAATAAGAACATTATTTTAGATATATCAGAACAACACAATGGAGAGAGCTTGGAACCCAAAGGGCTCTGTAGAGCGCAGTTCAAATTTGATATATAAACTTCTATATATGTTTTTACCATCCATTTAAAATAGTCTAGAGCCCTAGCCGGTTTGGCTCAATGGATAGAGCTTTGGCCTGCGGACTGAAGAGTCCCAGGTTCGATTCTGGTCAAGGGCACATGTCTGGGTTGTGGGCTCCATTCCCAGTAGGGGGCATTCAGGAGGCAGCCGATCAATGATTCTCTATCATCATTGATGTTTCTATTTCCCTCTCCCTTCCTCTCTGAAATCAATAAAACATATTTTAGAAAAAACCCAACATTCTAATCATGGTAAAATACACATAAAATGTATCATTTTAACCTTTTTAAGTGTATAGTTAAATCGTGTTAAGAAAAGTCACATTATGATGCAGCCAGTCTTCAGAACTTTTCTAATGTGCGAAAGTGAAACTCTGTATTCATTACACAACAAATCCCCATTTCCACCTATTCCCCAGCCTCTGGCAAGTAGCAGTCTTCTTTCTGTTTCTGTGCATTTGACTCCTCTTGATACCTCATATAAGTGGAATCATGCAGTATTTTGTGTGTGTGTGTGCGTGTGAGGGTGTATGTGTGTGTGTAACTACCTTATTTCACTTAGCATAATAGCCTCTAGGTTTACCCATGTTTAAGCATGTGTCAGAATATCCTTCCTTTTTTAAGGCTGAATGATGTTCCATTATACTCCACATTTTTATCTGTTCACCATCGACGGACACTTGGACACTTCCACCTCTTGGTGTTTTGTGAATAATGCTGCTATGAACATGGGTGTAAACATCTATCAGCTTAACCATTATTATTTTGGAGCCTCTACTATAGAAGCTAAGTCTGTATCCTAACTAGGTAGCTTTTACACTTTAAAAAAAATGTAATTCACAGTTGCAAAGGCATTTTGCATTATGACTCAAGTATACATAAATATATACACATCATATATATATATATATATATATATAGAGAGAGAGAGAGAGAGAGAAAGAGAGAGAGAG